TAGTCAATTCTGGATGATTTTTCTATTTCCTAAGAAAGTTATTCTTCTTGCCTTTCTCCTACTCTTCCTTCTTTGTTTTCTTTCTTTAGAACTGTACTAGTAGTTGTGGCTTGTCAGGAACACCTTTTTGTTCAAAGGTCAAACACCTTTGGGCTGGAGAAGGGCCTGACGTGGGCAAGGGCTAAGGAAGCATCATATCACCTTCCGTACAACACAGCCTCCACCCAGAGCATTGTTCTGGAGCAGAGAAGGCAAGAAAGGGAGGGAGGAACAGAGACAAGACGGTTTCGAACTGGAATTGTCATGGATGGGTGTGCCCTGCCAGCTATAGGGGGAGCTCCCCATAGAGGACCCGAGTCCTACCTATAGGTGGATGGATGACATAGGAGATGTCCAGGAATACATCCCTCGTTCTTTCCCAAATATCTTTCCTGCCAAGGCTTAAAGTTTTACTATTAGAGATTTTTTCTTGTGTCCTTGTTGCCTCTCCCTTTGAAGAAAAAAATTTTTTCATTATAAATGTTAAATTAGAAGATGCAAAGAAGGTAAAAAACATTTTTAACACACCCTCACAACCTCCAAAGCACTCACTTTTAAAAATAATAATCATGACCTTTATTTTGGACGGAATGGTCCAAGGCACCCACTTCTTTTTGACTGTGCTGGGTCTTCACTGCTACACGGGCTTTTCTCTTGTTGCCGCCAGTGGGAGCTACTGTCTAGTTGCAGCAGGCTTCTCAACGTGGTGGCTTCTCTTGTTGTGGAGCTGGGTTTTAGGGCACACAGGCCTCAGTAGTTGTGGCACGTGGACTCAGTAGTTGAGGTCCCTGGACTCTAGAGCATAGGCTCAGCAGTTGCGGTGCACAGACTTAGTTGCTCCACGGCACGTGGGCTCTTCTTGGACCAAGTATTGAACCCACATTTCCTGCATTGGCAGGCGAATTCTTTACCACTGAGACACCAGAGAAGCCTGCAAAGCACTCACTTTTTAATACATATTTTGATATGTTTCTCTCCCATCTTTTCTCTTGTTTTCATGCATAGCTATGTCCCCCCGTGTGAGATTCTGTGACCCACTGTCCCCAGTTAGTTTCAGTCCTAGTTCGGTCTGACGCTCTGAAAAGGTCAAGTATATGCCACCAAGTACCAGTGAATTCCATGATGTTGAGGAAATTACCTACCTGTTTAAACTTCAGTGTCCTTCCTGTGGAGTGGGGACAGTGATGCCCAATGTGAAAACTTATGACACCCTGGAGCCAAATCAGAGAGAAAATGAGAGTTAAGGCCAGTTCAGAAGAGCACGGATAGGACGGATGGGAGTGGTCAGAACAGAACTATTTACAGTGAGACCATAGCCAAGAAGGCTGGGTCACGGGGAGTGGGGGAGCCCAGGCAGAGGGACAAGGGAGCACTCCCACACCAGTCCTGTTGGGTCCTCCCTGGGACCAGCTCTCCTGAGCACCCATGCCTCATGCCTTGGGCTCCACCTGGGCACAGGTGCCTTCCCTTGGAGCCCCCGGGCGTCACCTGCCCCACTTCCTGTTGGGTCGAGTCCATTTCCAGTGCAGCCCTGAGGGTGATCAGAGGGAGATAGCCAGCCTGGAATTCCTCATTTCCACTTGCTCACAGCCAGATGGTGAACTCAGAGGATTGTGTGAGTGCTGGCCTCTGCCTGGGGCCCTGGGCTTGACTTGGGAACCCTAGGGACCTGGGGCCAGACAAGGGTGAATGAGTCCTGGGGATTTGCTTCAGGCAGGGTGGCCTGGTCTGGGGGCAGGTTTGGGGGGGAGGATGAAGAGACGTGGAGCTGGATTGGATACAGCCTCTGCAAGTCGTTTGTATCACTCATTTGTGATTGCCACAGTGTGTGTGCATGTGTGCGTGCGTGTTCAGGGCGGGGCAGGGGAGGGGGGGCAGGAGAACTGCATCCCTAAGCTGTGGCTGCCTTGGGCTGGCTCATGGAGACAGGTAGCTGCACGTGGATGTCTAAGAATGCTCCTCTTGCATACCTGTGTGAACATGCAGGTCCGGGAGCAGCTGTGGGTCTGCCTAGGAATTTAGACAGCCATGGGGGAGGTATGGGGGGAGTCTGTATGTCACTGAATGCCTGGACTTGAGTTGTAGAGTGTCAAGGGGTGTGTGTGTGTGTGTGTGTGTGTGTGTGTGTGTGTGTGTGTGTGTGTGTGTGAGATGGGGCATGTGTCTGGCTATGGGAAGGAGTGTGTCTATGAACATGCATTGTGTCAGAATAACACAATCTCTTATTTCTATCTCTGCAGTCCCATAAAAAGACCAACAGACCCGAGTTACAAGCTGGCAGCAACACGTATTACCTGAGCACCTACTATGTGCTGGACCCTGTGCCAGGCCCTGGAGATATAGAAGGCAATAAAACTCAGAGCCTCCACCTGCCCCCTGCCTTGAGGAGCTCCCAGGGCAGAGGGTGAGGTGGGAGGAACAGATCATTATGGTCAAGGGTCTAAGTCCCGAGGGCTGCCCCTTGTGTCCTTCCTCAGAGGAAGAATATTGTCCTTCCCACAATATCCCAACTGCGGAGATGATCTGTTTTCACTGCCATCTCCTCCTCCAGACTAAGTCCTGTAATACTCTGTAAGGATGAATTATGCCAAGGCCCCTGTGAGTTGGGGTGTCTGGGTGGCCCTAAGCCAGCCGTGACCAATCATGAGCCGCAACCAGTGCGACAGTCCCACTAGGCTGGGCTTAACTCTTGCTTCCACTACTTACAGCTGGGTCACATGCACCAGCTACTTAAGTTTCCTGGGCCTCAGTTAACTCATCTGTGCAATGGGTATAATGATGGCTCACTAACCTCACAGGAGGCCTGAGACTTCAGTGACACATGTGCTAGGCCCAAGGATGGCATCCTAAGCACTGACTGGTGGAGGCTCAAGAACTTTCTTCTGAGTCTGGACTTAGCAGATGCAAACTGTTACATACAGAATGGATAAACAAGGCCCTACTGACTAGTGCAGATGGGCTTCCCAGATGGCACTAGGAGTAAAGGACTCACCTGCCAATGCAGGAGACAGGAGACTTGGTTTTGATCCCTGAGTTGGGAAGATCCCTTGGAGAAGGAAATGGCAACCCACTCCAATATTCTTGCCTGGAGACTCTCATGGACAGAGGAGCCTGGCAGTCTACAGTCCATAGGGTTGCAAAGAATCAGACATGACTGAAGTGACTTAGCATGCATGTATAGTACAGGGAACTGTATTCTGTGACAAACCATCATGGAAAGAATATGAAAAAGAATGTACATGTATCTAGAACTGAATTACTTTGCTGTGCAGTAGAAATTAATACAACATTGTAAATCAACTATACTTCAATAAAACATTTTCTAAAAAGGGAGAACTTCTTTCTGGATTTTCCATGTGTATCTCAGCATCCAGTCACTGATGTCCTTGGTGAATCTTAAGTGTTTTCTCCAATTTCCCTGCCTTACAGCCTTAACTGTCAACAGGTAACTTTTCTGAAACATTGAAAATGTGTCACTTTGGGAGAGTATGCCTCACCCCGCCCTTGCTCCAGGCACATGCATGCTTGTGTGTGCTTGTGTGTATATGGCGGGGGCCCATGGGACAGGAGGGGCTGCTGGGGCAGCTCCCTCCTCATCTGCCTGAATTCGGGTGCCCACTGGGGTGGTTGGGGCCTGGTGGGGGTCCTTCTTCCACTCTGACTCACACTGGTCCAGCTTGAGCTTTGTTGAGCCTGGCTCAAGGTCTTACCAGTGGTATGCTGGAGCCAGTTCCAACTGGTTTGCAGAGTCACCCAAGCAAATCTCTTCCTAACTCCTTAGATCAAGGATGATGCCACATCATAACTTGAAATCATCCACAGTGGCAATATTTCCAGCAGGGAATCGGCAAGTGCTATTAGACATACTCCCACCCACCCGGCAAAGCAGCACACACTTGTCTGCAGTTTTTTTTTTTTTTTTTTTGTCTGCAGTTTTAACAACCCCTGATATTGAGTGCCAGCACCTGTTAGGCATTTGGCATCACTTTTTTGGTTTTGCTTTTTTGGCCATGCCACGCTGCTTGCAGGACCTTAGTTCCCCCACCAGAGATTGAAGCTGCACTCTTGGCAGTCAAAGTGGGAAATCCTAACCACTGGGCCTTCAGGGAATTCCTATGGCATCACTCTTATTTGCACAAAAATCCTGTGAGCTATTTATTATCGTCCCCATTTCATATCTGAGGTTTATAATTTCCATGATTTGAATTCAGATCTCTGCCCACCTCACTGGACTGTATGCCTCAATACATAGAACCATGAGATGTGATTGTTAAAGATCGTTGCTTAACCGCTGCCCTTATTGGACAGGGAAACAGCTCAGAGAGCCTCATTATAGCTGCTAATATGGCAGTTGTTAATATGTTAATATGGCAGCTCCCATCTTCCCCCAGTCTCCCAGCGCCTTTGTGTGTCCACAAAGCCAAGGTCACTGTCACCTGATGTTCTGCATACAGGGTTGATTTTTTGGAAACTTTACATTCAGATCTTGACATTCAGTGTGACTTATGTTTTGTTTTGCTCAATTTGACCCAGTATTCAACACTCTCAAAAACATATTAAACTTTGACGGGGTGATTTGTTGTGTGTCTCCCTCCCAGATGGGAGCCACCTACTGCCTTGGTCACTGGACTTTCGCTGCAGGAATTGGGGTTAGACTTAAAAAAACAAAAAAGCAAGGCAGAGCTTTATGGCCCAACACTGAACATATCCATCCTGTCTGACAGAAGTTCTGGGGTCTATGCACTTTGGAAGGTAAGTTCCTTCCCTACCCCGTCCCAGGCTCTGCCTGCCCCACCGACCAGAGAACCTGGATTTTTGTTTCATGGACATCAACTAATGCTCAGTGAGGCCTCCTCCCTGACCGTCTCTAGTTTAGAAACTGGGTTCCCTTATCCTGCTTCCGCTCTGACCATGGGAACCCCCGTCCCAGGACACCCTTAGCATTTTTCCTGTGTCCACAGCCGGCCCTCCTTCAGTGTCGCGGAGCTGGGGCAGAGGGACCCGCAGCGACCCGGCTGGAGAGTGGATGAGACACGACTTCTCAGACTCCAGGCGCCTCTCTCCTTTTATGCCCCGACCCCTTTTTCCTTGGGGGAGGGTATCCTGCGGGTACTTCCACCCCGCCCGGAGAGGCAAAAGCTCCCTGGTCCCCGCTTCGTACCCGCATCCTTGCCTCTCCAACCCCCGGGTCCTTCAGCCGCCCAGGCCCTCGACCCGCACTACATCAGGTGAGCTCTCACCTGGGGAGGGTGGGCGGGGGCCGGGAGGCGGGGCAGGGGCGGGCCTGGAGAGGTGGCCCCACCCTCAGAGGGGCGGGGCAAGTCAGTGGGGCCAATGAGGCGGGGGGCTCGCCGCTCGGGGCTTGGTGCCGCCGGCGCTGCTCCCTCCCCGCCTCCCGCTCCGCCCCTCTTGGGTTTAAAGCCCCGCGGGCGGCTGGTGGCGGCGCTGCGAGCGCTGCGCGGCGCGAGGAGATGCGACTGGGCTCCGCGCCGCCGGCATCATGCGCCCCCCGCCCGCGCTGGCCCTGGCCGCGCTCTGCCTGCTGGCGCTGCCCGCCGCCGCCGCCGCCGCCTACTTCGGGTCAGTGCCCGCCGCGCCCCGGCCCGCCTGCCTCCCCCTCCTCCCGCTGCAGCAATGCCAACTTTTCCCTTCCGCTGGCCCCGGCCCCGGCGGGATCTCGAACTCAGACCTTAGTACCCAACCCCATCTCGGGGTGGGAGTTACTGCCCAGAACTCCTCAGGCTTCCCGGACTGGGCCCGGATCGCACCTTCCAGAGTCCGAACTCTGGTCCCCTTCACCTCCGCTTTTCTCACCCAGTCCTGTCCTAGACCTCATCCCGCCCACTAAGCCGGGTCTCGGATCCTGGCTCAAGCTCCAGGATTCTGCAGGCGTCTCGGACCTTGTGCCCGTGCGCCCCGGCGCGCCCTGTCCCTGCCGGTCCAAGGAGTCCCTCCCACGCTCGGACGTCCTCTCCGATCCTCACTTGTGCCCTATCCGTTCCCATCCTGGGCTCTGTCCAGCCACCAATCCTTGCCTAGGGCTCCCTTCATACCTTCTGCCTTAGCCTGCGGAGCTGAGACCCGGAGGGCTGGCTGGATGGGCGGGGTGGGTTGTTCCCGAGGTCGGGGGAGGGGATCGCGCTGATCCAAAAGGGATGGAGAAACCTTCAGACCGTGGGGAGAGTAGGAGGGAACCGTTTGTGGGGGAAACCCAACCAAATCTCAGACCTGGCCTCAGGTGAATTCTCAGGAGAATGACGAAGAGAGTAAGGGGGAGGTGGTGTACATGATTGGAAAAGGAAGCTCTGAGTTGAGGGTGACATCTGGGGAGAGAATGGGTGGGACCGGGCAGTGTTTGGAGAGCAAGTTACAGGGTAACTGACCCTCCTTCTCTGAACCTGAATTGCAGGGACTTGGTATGAGTTGGGGTCGTGGGTGTGAAGGAACTTTCCTGACCTCCACCCAAAGCCTGCTCTAAATATATAGTCTGTTTCTTTAAATCAGGGCACTTTTTGTGATCCTCACCCAAATCAAGGTGAGGCTTACAGCCTGACCCCAAGCAAAGGCAAAAGCAAGCAAGCCAACAAAACCCAAAAAAACATAAACCACCAAGCAAGTGACCTGCCAGAGACTGCTCTTACGGACCTGGCAGGGAGGGGCAAATAAGGGTCAGAGAAGGTCTGAGAGGTCCCGCACAGGAATAGGGCTGTGGGCTAATTTCCAGGTCATGACCCCTGTTTAAAACAAGCCTTGGCTGTGGGCAATGGCCTCTCTTGAAACATATAGGGGGTGGGGTGGGAGTAATGTCAGCCCAGACCCTAGGGCTCTGGGCTCAGCTTGCTGGGAAGACCACTTAGTCTCTGGCCTCAGTGTCCCCTTTTGTACAAAGAAGGGGCCGAACTTGGTGCGACTGAGCCCCTCTGTCTGCTTTCTGTCAAGAGCACTGGGCATTCATGTTGTTTCCCAGTGATTCCAAGCTTGGAAATGCACTGTTGCTGCCTCAGCAGACAGGATAAAATGGCCGGGCACAGTCTCTGGGTTCAATCCCCGATCCATCTACTTGCTAACTGTGTGAGTTTGGCCAAATCACTTAACCTCTCTGTACCTCAGTTTCTTATCTGTAAATTGAGGATAATAGTGCTTATTTCATATGAGTACCATGTGAGTTGGGCTTCCCTGGGGGCTCAGTAGTAAAGAATCCATCTGATCCCCTGGAGAAGATAGTGGCAACCCATTCCAGTATACTTGCTCGGGAAATTCCATGGAAAGAGGAGCCTGGTGGGTCATAGTCCATAAAGTCGGAAAGCAGTCGGACACAACTTAGCGACTAAACAACAGCAAATCATGTGAGTTAGTACATGTAAAGCACTTAGAACAAGGTCTTTGTTGTCGTTTAGACCCTGACCCAGGGTCTCCTGCATTGCAGGCAGATTCTTTTGCCACCGGGGAAGCCTGAACAGGGTATAGCATGTAGTAAATGCACAACTAATGCTACTAATTATTAAGGCGATGAGGTAGAATGTCTTGATATTTCAGCCCTGACAGGGGTTTCTGAGCTGGAATGGAGTGGGGTGGTGGGGAAATGGTGCCTGCAGCCTCTTGGATATCAGCTCATTTTCACAATCCTTTTGTTTGCTTGGGCTCAAGGGTTGAGGATGGGGCAAGGGCCAGGTGAGATGGGAGGAGAGGGGCTCCAGGAAGCTGAGACCATCCAGGCTGATGTGGTAGGAAGGGAAAGGAGTTTGTGGCAGTGCCCAAGGTTAGAATTTGAGGGCTGTAAGCAATGGGGCAGTCTTGGAAATGAAAAGGGAAATCAGATCGAGCATGAATTGGGGCTGAGATGGATCATATGAGTGTGAGTCCCTCTTCCATGTTGTGAGCTCCACTGGACATAGCTGGCAAAATGCACTCAAGCCACCATCACCCCAGTTTGGGGAGGAAGATACACTCTCAGTGATTAAGATAAACCTGGGGCTCCGTGCTATTACATGTTTGGTCTCAGAGAACAGACAGGAATGAGCCTAAATTCTCCCTGAGGAAGCCCTGTTGTGACTCAGTCAGGCCAGGTTTTCCATCCTACTATTTGAATTTGCTCCCTGGAAGGAACCTGTATCAGTCATTCACACTGTAGTAAGAATAAGAGGTAATGTGCTTCTCCCTTCTCCAGATTATTTGCATTTGAAATCTTATTTCTGACTATAAGGTCAAGTGTTTTGTCATCCTGATAAAATAAAATTCAAACATCAGGAGAACAGGTAAGGCCAATCTTCTTGGGGTTTTTTTCATAGAATCAGACTTAAGAGTTGGGAGTGACCCCCAAAGTTTCTCTGGTCTAACTCCCTGCTTCAAGCAGGTCATGTATTATTCCTATATTTCAGATGAAGGGACCATCATCCCCAAGTCAGTGAGCCAGCAACTGCTTCTGGTGCTTTTGCATGAGTCTAGCACCTAATCCTGGTGTTGCTGATAGTATTAGTATCATTAGTGTTACAGTTTACAAATAATTTTCTTATTCAGCCCCTCCGTCATCTGATCCTCAGACCCATTCTTGAGGTATACAGGATGGATGTAAATAGTTTTCAAAAGGAAACAGGGTGAGAAAGTTTCAATGACTCACTCTGTGTCACACAGAGAGCTAGTGGGAGAGGCAGCATAGACATCAGGTCCTGCTGCCAGTCTGGGCTCTTCATTTGACAGAGAGCATTAGCTACCAGAGCTAATACCATGTGGTCATCCAGGAGAGCCACAGCTGCAAGGGAGCTGCAGAGGATGAAGTGGGTAGAGGGTTGCCCCATCTCCTACTTGGTTAACTCTGTTAGACATTCTTGGCTGTTGTGGGTTGGGTGGGGCTCCAACATTCTCTTCTGTCCTGAATAGTGAGATAGGATGCTATGAACTCTGCTCAGGTATCAGGTAGGCTCCCATAGATGGCATGATGACAGTGGGATGGGAGGTAGAAAGGTTTGTCCTAACTCCAGACCACTCTCTGGGATGTCCATGGTCAAGTCACTTGCCTCCAAGGTCTTTAGCATCCTTAGGTCCTCCACTAAGTTTCCCTAACCAGACGGCTCTGGCTTGGAAGTCTAAGATTGCTCAAGAGTTCATGTTTTGGCTCAGCTGGCTTGGGAATTCTGAAAATATTAACTTCTGTGGTGTTTTATAAATGAATACTCACTGTCTTATGTAATGAGCTGAGAATATGATAAGCCTTGTCATCCAGTTCAGTCTTTAAGTCAAGAATTTTGTGTCCAGAAATAGTTAATGTGGATGCAATTGTTAAAATTGTAGTTGACTCTGGTGGTGCTTTGTACATGTGTGCCCTCTGCACTGTTTGTGTTTCTTTTCTGTCTAAGGATGGTATAGATAGGTTTAGGAAAGCACAATCTTAAGTAGTAGCTCAGATGGTAAAGAATCCACCTACAATGCAGGAGACCTGGGTTTGATTCCTGGCTCAGGAAGATCCCTTGGAGAAGGAAATGGCAACCCACTCCAGTATCCTTGCCTGGAGAATCCCATGGACAGAGGAGCCTGGGGGGCTATAGTCCATGGGGTGGGAAAGAGTCGGACACGACTGAGCAACTAACACTGATCACTGATCTTTGCCTCTTGCCAGCTGTGTGACCTCAGGCACATGTCTTCATCTTTCTGAGCTTTGGGTGATGATAATACCCATCCTAAAGGCTGGTGTGAGGCTTGAGACAATGAATGAAAGGGCCTGACAGGGTGCCTGGCACATACCAAGTGCTCGGTATGGGCTCACTCTTGGTGGCTCCTGGGATTCTCATTATCTTCTTGGGTTGTAGAGGTGTTATCATTGTGAAGAAGCAAGATACAACCTTAATTTTTTTTCAAAACCAACATCACACACAATGAAATGCATGCATCCTAAGCGCACGATTTGGGTTTTAATGAACGTATGCCTCTATGTAAGCACCACCTCAATTACTATATGGAACTGCACTATCTCAAAGGACCCCTCGTGTTCGTTTGCAGTCAACACTGCCCCACCAGCCCCAGGTCACCACTTCCCTGCTTTCTGTCACTTGAGATAGTTTTTCCCATTGTAGAATTTCATATAAATGGAATCATAGGGTATATAGCATTTTGAGTCTCAATTCTTTTGTACAATATAATGTTTTTGAAATTATTCACATGGTGGCATATATCAGTAGCATTTTCCTTTTTTTCTTGCTGAGTAGTATTCTATTGTTTGGATGTACCACAGTTTGTTTATTCACTCACCAGTTAATGGACATTTGGATTGTTTCCAGTTTGGGGCTCTGCTAAATAAAGCTGCTATGAGCATTCATGTACATCCCTTTTAGTGGACAGATGTTTTTATTTCTCTTGGATGTGTATCTAGAACTGGATTTCTGGATCATATGGTATATATATTTAACTTTACAAGAAATGGTTGAATAATATTCCAAAGTGGTTGTACCACTTTACACAGTAATGTATGAGAGTTCTAGTTGCTCCATATTCTTTTCTGCTGTCAGTCTTAATTTTGACCATTTTAGTGGGTATGTATTGGTGTCTCATTGTGATTTTAATTTGCATTTTTCCATTGATGAATACTC